ACATTCAAAATTAACCCCCTTACTCCAAATGTTCTCATGAACCTCTGAACATTGCTGGAGACTGTCTCCGTCTATACTCTTCCATCATTATAAGTGTGTGCTGCCAAAATCCTCACTTTCTCCTTTTTTCCATAAATATTTCCCATTCCACTTAATGTACATTTCCAAGTACTGTCCCATATCTCTAATACCTACTACGTTTCTCCACCTTAGTCCTTGAATAGCATAGTCCAGATTGTCCATTTTATGTGAATCTACACACCCTGAATAAGTGACACAATTTGATTGCTGTTAAATCCAAAACATGGCTACTATTCTTCTCATTATCAGTACTCTTGTTCTACGTGACTCTTCTTACTTTGTCCAGCTCTCATTAAGTGTCTTCTTTACTGTTACATACTTCTTTTCTCACAAAATACTTCTCTGGGTGATATGATCAATTCCTTAGGCCTTCAGTAACATTTTTAAGATGATAATGCTGATCTACCATTTTTCTCTCCAGACCCCAATCCTTACCAAGTAGATTTTGGGGGTGTGGTCAAAGTGGCCCTGACATCATACGCACGCACGCAGCTTTGGCCACGCTTCCCGGAACGTTCAGAGTTTCAACAAACTGATTCCACAGCCGGCAGTGGAGAGAACCAGGAAGGACTCTATCGGTGGGGTGTGAGGCAAGGAGGAAAATCCGGACAGTTTGCTGCTTTTAAATATTTCATAATAAAGTTTGGATTTTTATAATTACCGCAGCTGTGTCCATAGTGTTACATCTTGAACCATTACAGCTAGAGCAGGCTTCTCTGCTCTACACTTGTGAGTGTTCCCTTCTGAAACAGTTATATCTATTTTAGTTTATTTTACAATATTGCCCTATGACGTTATTTCTTCTTCTTTTTTTACATGTGTACCTTCAATTTGGAGCTAATACCATTACATGTTACTATGAATGTATTAACATGTAAGTGGGGTGCTCTTTGCACAGCATTGCAGCACTTTATTATATTTTGTTTATTGCACTGGTGCACATCAATTATTGCACTTAAGAATATATACAGTTTAGAAAATAGTATTGTCATAATTGTATAATATTTTTGGTATATGGTTTGAAATAAAACAGTCTTAAAGGCACCGCACACCTTATGTTTTTTTTGGTCAATCTGTTTTTTATTTGAGGCATAATTAATACGATACAGAAATTAGAAAAATAATGAAACATGACAACAATGTACATGACAGGATTATAGTAGGTATACACTTTGAATTAGAGTGAAATATACAGCCTCTTTATTCATTTATTTTTGAAGTTTTTTTGTGAATTCAAAATTTGTTTACTACATGCAATAACAGATAAGTTAACCCCTTAAGGACACAGCTTCAGAAGCTTGACTTACGCTTAATGACACAAGCAATTTTTGCATTTTCTTGCTGTTTGCGTTCAACTGCAATTTGCATCTCTCTCATTTATTGCACCGACACATATTATATACTGTTTTTTAAAGGACAGAAAGGGCTTTAATTTGATATAACATATATATATATAAATGCTTACTTATTATAAAAAAAATACAGAAAAATGCAAAAAAAATGAAAAATATTGTTTTTTTTTACAGTTTTTGCAATAATAATGTGTGCATAATTAGTGCAGGTTAAGGAAAGTAATTAAAAATAAATTTATTTATTTGTTCTGATTTACAGAATATATAATGTGTCTGGGATTTTAAGTTTTTTTTGGTAGTTACAGGTCACAAAGCACAAGGAGTAAAATAAACTTTTAATGTGGAGCGATTTTAGAATTTGGTATGTTTGTCTTGTAAGCGTAATAGCCATAAAAGAAAACAAAATTGCCACACAAAAGTATATATTTATATAAAGTAGACATCACGGGCTATTTACCTGAGGTTGTTTTGACACTTTCTACGTAGCCATTTCACCGCCAACCTCTGCTAAATATTGGAGTAAAATTGTGTTCTTTTTGGTTTTTGGCACACAAACTTATAACAGAGAAATTCTCGTGTATATTTTGTAAAGTTGGTGTGTGCTATTCCTGTACAAAGTTTTATTTTGTGTTCAGTTACATCTGCTGAGTAAAATGACACCCCCATTGTATGTCTTTTGCACTATTTCGTGAAGTTACAGTGCCATACAGGATACCTGTCCTTTTCAGTATTCACAGTAGAATTTTGAGAGATGGATTTAATGAGCCTTAGCTTCCATTTTGGGGTATTATAACAGTTTGACTGTTCAAAAAAACCCCACAAAGGCCTACCATTTGTAAAAGTAGACACTCCAGGGTATCTCATAAGGTGCATATTGTGCCTTAACATGCCCCCATTTTTTCACCAATATATGCCAAAGTATGTGGTAAAAAATAATTTTGTGCATTTTTTACATACGGATTGCATTTTTGCTGGGCGTTTTGTATATTTCATATGTGCCACTAAGTTCAAACCCCCCAAATTATGCTCAGCTAAGTCTTCTGAGTAAAATGACACCCCATATGAATGTCTTTGGCACTATTTCGTGAAGCGGACCGGGTGGCAGCCTCGCCGGTCCGGCGGCATTCCGCTCACTAACACTGAAGAGGAAGGAGGAGGAGGAGCATGTGTCGGTCATGCTCCTTTGCGGTTCCCACATCCTGTGCTGGGAATTGTGGGAACCGCAGGGAGCATGACAGACATGCTCCACCTCCTCCTCCTTCTTCAGTGTTAGTGAGCGGAATGCCACCCGGTCCGGCGGCTCTAACATGAAACGGCCGCCCCCCCCCCTCACAGTGTGCCACCGGGCCGGCCACCCGGTGGCACCTGCAGTCCCCAATCCAGCCCTGCCGCCGGGCCCCCTGAAGGCGGCCCTGGCGGCGGGCCCCCCTCCCGGCCGGGCCCTCGGACCGTGTCCGAAGTGCCCGACCGGTCAGTCCGCCCCTGTTTGCCAGGTATGTGTGGACATCGGAGGGGCACATTTGGGACACAGCCATTCCAGTTTTTTTCAAACTTTGAATTTTTATGCTGTGCCTATGTCCCATTTTACAGTATTTTACCAGGCTATATAATCCAAATTCCCCATAAAGCCATACCATTTCTTAAAGAAGACATCCCAGGGTATTTCAAAAGGCATATTTTGAACCTTAGTGTGGGATCATTTTTCCGCTAGCTTGTACCAAGTGTAGTGGTAATAAGCATTTTTTTCTGCCTTTTTGACCTTCAAAGTGAGTTTGCGCAGCATATTTTGCAAACCTTATGTGTGCTATGACTGTATAATACTTCATATGTTGCTCAGCTATGTCGGCTGAGTACAGCAATACCCCCGTATGTACCTTTGCCAGGTATATATGGATGTTGAAGGGGCGCATTTGAGACGCAGCCATTCATTTTTTTTCTAACTTTGAAGTTTTATGCTGTGTCCATGTTCCAATTTGGAGTAGTTTAGATGGTTGGTTATTGAAACTTCCCCACAAACACATACTATTTATTAAAGAATACACCCTGGGGTAATTCAAAAGGCATATTTTGAACCTTGGCGTGGGATAATTTTTTCTCTAGTTTGCTCCAGGTGTAGTGGTAATGAGCGTTTTTAAAATGTATTTTTTTACTTTTTATAACTTTTTACTTTTAAAAACTAGTTTTTTTAAACTTTTGTTTTGCTTATAAATTTTTTTAAACTTTCCTAAACTTTCTTAAAACTTTTTTACAGATTTAACATTTTTCTAAGCTTTTTTTTTACCGTTAACCCCTAACTAGCAGTACGCAGCACTAACAGTAAATTCCCCATTTTCCCATAACTCCCACCCACCCCAGCTAGCAAAATATATAGTTATAAAATATTTAAATTAATTAATTAAATAAATTGAACCCCTGAGGGTTAAAAAAATAAATAAAAGTTAATCCTCAGGGGTTAAAAAAAATTAGATCACAGTATAATACTGTGATCTCTATTTGATCGCTGTAGGCAGTGATCGACTGGCAGGGAAGGGGTTAATTTTTATTTGGACTAGGTAAAGTGTGTTTTTTTTGTTTTTTTTTACTTAAATGTTATTAAAACATTTTTTTAAGCTTAATTTTTAACTTTTTAAAGTTTCTTTTAAAACTTTTTTTAACGTTAACCCCTAGTTAGCCTAACGCCAAATCCCCCAATTCCCCACTAACTTCCACCTACCACAGCTAGCTAAATATATAATTAAAAAATAATTTAATTAATTAATTTAATTAATTTAACCCCTGAGGGTTAAAAAAAAAAAGAATTAACCCTCAGGGGTTAAAAAAAAAAATCAGATCATAGTAAAATGTAATCCCTGCCAATTGATCACTGTAGTCAGTGATCAATTGGCAGGGAAGGGGTTAATTTTTTATTAAAATGGGTAAGGGGGGGGGGACTTTAAATAAACTTTATTTTTTTTTACAGCAGGGGGCAGGATCAGCACTGATCCGGCTCCCTGCACTTCACACAGAACCCGGAAGTGCAGGGAGCCGGTAGGTGAGTATACAGAGCACATGTGCTCGCTCAGACTTGCGGTCAGAGCGAGCACATGTGCTGGGCAGACTGACCGGGTGCTCCCGGTATGCCTCTAATGCAGAGGCATACCGGGAGCACCATTAACCCCGCGATCGCCGCGATCCGGGGTTAATTTTACCGCGTGACGGACGAGGTCCGTCACCCGTCGTTAAGGGTCTCCCCTCTGTGACGGACCTCGTCCGTCACCCGTCCTGAAGGGGTTAAATATGCCAGCACCTTATTTTTGTTTACATTTTAGTGAGTGTTTATTTGAGCTTGTACACTGTTGGAGGTGCAGCTTCTTTTTTAATAAGTAAAAAACTTCTTCTGTTTGGGATTGGGTTTTTTTTCCCCCGCCAGGTACATACTAGTAACTCATTCAACTGAATCCTAGAAAATTAGTGATTTGTCTTCTAATGTGTAGCAATTTAATACATAGGTACTTATTAGACATGTGCAATTTGTTTCGTTCTGCATGTACATTCAGACAAAAGTTCACGCAAACTAAGCATCTGAATGTCCAAAGTTCGAATTGCCAAATTTCCAAACCGAATTGCCGAAGTGCTTCAGCTTTCTATAAAGTGGCAAAACAAGAGCGGGAGATGATGACCGGAATCTTGACCAATAAGCTAATTCCTGGCTCTGGGAGCCCTATAGATGTGTAAGTGGTCGTGGTGGCAGTCCAGGCGCTGGGAGCCCTATAGATGTGTAAGTGGTTGTGGTGGTTAGGGATGTTTTGTTCAATCCAAGCCGCTTAGGTGGTATGTTCCCCACCAAGAATAGTGACTTCCAGTTTATGGTGAATTAAAACCATTCAGGGTATCTTAAATAAATAAATTATTCTTTATTCTGAAACATAAATCTAAAAACAATAAAATATAGAGTAAAAAATAACACTAACACATTTCACCAATGTGGCTTTTTGAGAGTGTTGGGGATTATACCACTCATGATCATACAAGTGGAGCTGTAAAGAGCTCCCAATATCTGTAAGTGTATTCCTTACTTATCTTTCCATTTAACTAGCAATACTGCACTATATATTTCTCTATTTTTAATCTTTGTTACATAAATCTTCACAAATTACTGTAAAGTGTTACCCCTCCCTTCCTGTACACGCATTTATTTTTATATACAGATGTCATCACTTTGTTAGTTTTTTTTTTTTTTAACAGGTCATCCCTTGGAAGGAGTCCGATCATGTATTTTAAATGACCAACAAGTGCACAATACTTATAGTCAGTTGACATGGGTTTCCAATTTGGAATGCCAGCCTCGATATCACCACTCGTAACTTCATGACATGATTTCGTTTTTGTCCAGTGAAGCTAGTCTAGCCATTGGTAACCTGCTCTACTCGTCCATTCCTAAAAGACAAACACACCCTGCAGATAGACATTTTATTTGAATTCAGATCAAACATCCCTTTATACCCCATGCTTTAGCATATCCATGCTTAAAATCCCATGTTTTTGATAATACCAGTAGTCAGGCTGTTTTTACACTAAGCTGTGCCTTTAACACATATATTCTGATGATGAAGTCTGTACTAAATATTCCAGGCTTTTCTGCCTGTGTTATTTAAGGAATGTATTTCTCCCCCAAAATTAAACTTAAGGCTTGCTCTGGTTATAAAATCTTTATTAAAAATACATTAAAACACACACACACACACACGCTGGGAGACATGGGGACACTGAGACACTTGGGGACGCTGTTAGACATAGAGACATTGGGAGACACGCTGGTACATAGAGACACTAGGGAAACAGTGTCTCCATGTCTCTCAGTGTCCTAATCTCCCAATGTCTGTGTCCCCATGTCTCTCAGTGTCCCTAGTGTCTCATTGTCCCCATGTATCCCAGTGTCCAAAAATGTCTGTGTCCCCATGTCACCCAGCCAGTGTCTCATTGTCCCCATGTCTTCCAGTGTCCCCATGTCTATGTCCACAAGTGGCCCCATGTCTCCCACTGTCCCAAAGTGTCTGTGTCCCCATTCATCCCAGTCAGTGTCTGTGTCCCCAGGTCTCCCAGTCTCCTAATCTCCCAGTGTCTGTGTTCCCATGTCTCTCAGTGTCCCTAGTGTCTTAGTGTCCCCATGTCTCCCAGTGTTTGTGTCCCCATTTCTCCCTATGTCTCCCAATGTCCCCATGTCTGTATCCACAAGTGCCCCCATGTGTCTCCATGTCCCTGGGTCTCTGGAATGTATACAGTAAGGTCCATAAATATTGGGACATTGACTCAATTCTAATCTTTTTGGCACTATACACCAACACAATGGGTTTGAAATGAAACAAACTAGATGTGCTTTAACTGCAGACTTTCAGCTTTAATTTGAGGGTATTTACATCCAAATCAGCTGAACGGTGTAGGAGTTACAACAGTTTGTATATGTGCCTCCCACTTTTTAAGGGACCAAAAGTAATGGGACAGATTAACAGTCATAAATCAAACTTTTACTTTTTAATATTTGCTTGCAAATCCTTTGCAGTCAATTACAGCCTGAAGTCTAGAACGCATAGACATCACCAGATGCTGGGTTTCATCCCTGGTGATGCTCTGCCAGGCCTCTACTGCAACTGTCTTCAGTTCCTGCTTGTTCTTAGGGCATTTTCCCTTCAGTTTTGTCTTCATCAAGTGAAATGCATGCTCAATCGGATTCAGGTCAGGTGATTGAATTGGCCATTGCATAACATTCCACTTCTTTCCCTTAAAAAAAACTCTTTGGTTGCTTTTGCAGTATGCTTCGGGTCATTGTCCATCTGCACTGTGAAGCGCCGTCCAATGAGTTCTAAAGCATTTGGCTGAATATGAGCAGATAATATTGCCCGAAACACTTCAGAATTCATCCTGCTGCTTTTGTCAGCAGTCACATCATCAATAAATACAAGAGAACCAGTTCCATTGGCAGTCAAACATGCCCACGCCATGACACTACCACCACCATGCTTCACTGATGAGGTGGTATGCTTTGGATCATGAGCAGTTCCTTTCCTTCTCCATACTCTTCTCTTCCCATCACTCTAGTACAAGTTGATCTTGGTCTCATCTGTCCATAGGATGTTGTTCCAGAACTGTGAAGGCTTTTTTAGATGTTGTTTGGCAAACTCTAATCTGGCCTTCCTGTTTTTGAGGCTCACCAATGGTTTACATCTTGTGGTGAACCCTCTGTATTCACTGTGGTGAAGTCATCACTTTGACACACATACACCTACCTCCTGGAGAGTGTTCTTAATGTGTAGGGTGTTTTCTTCACCAGGGAAAGAATACTTCGGTCATCCACCACAGTTGTTTTCCGTGGTTTTTCAGGTCTTTTGGTGTTGCTGAGATCACCGGTGCGTTCTTTCTTTTTAAGGATGTTCCAAAGAGTTGATTTGGCCACATCTAATGTTTTTGCTACCTCTCTGATGGGTTTGTTTTGTTTTTTCAGCCTAATGATGGCTTGCTTCACTGATAGTGACAGCTCTTTGGATCTCATATTGAGAGTTGACAGCAACAGATTCCAAATGCAAATAGCACACTTGAAATGAACTTTATCTGCTCCTTGTAAATGGGATAATGAGGGAATAACACACGCCTGGCCATGGAACAGCTGAGCAGCCAATTGTCCCATTACTTTTGGTCCCTTGAAAAGTGGGAGGCACATATGCAAACTGTTGTAATTCCTACACCGTTCACCTGATTTGGATGCAAATACCCTCAAATTAAAGCTGAAAGTCTGTGGTTAAAGCACATCTTGTTCATTTCATTTCAAATCCATTGTGGTGGTGTATAGAGCCAAAAAGATTAGAATTGTGTCGATGTCCCAATATTTATGGACCTGACTGTGTGTGTATGTATCTGGAAGCATATGTGTGGGTTGGTGGGGCCCAGCAATTGTTTGTAAGAGGCCTCGCAAAGTCTAGAGCCACCTCTGTATTTATGTAATCTACAGATGTGATCTAAAATAAAAAGTGGTTTAATATGGTCACAGTTAATACCAATGTCTAAATCAATAGTTCAGGCAGGATACTTACACCTTATATATATAGTTACATAGTTACATAGCTGAAAAGAGACTTGCGTCCATCAAGTTCAGCCTTCCTCACATTTGTTTTTTGCTGTTGATCCCAAAGAAGGCAAAAAACCCAGTTTGAAGCACAATTTTGCAACAAGCTAGGGAAAAAAATCCTTCTTGACCTCAGAATGGCAGTCAGATTTATCCTTGGATCAAGCAGTTATTACCCTACATTGAAAGATTATATCCTTGAATATTCTGTTTTTGCAAGTATGCATCTAGTAGCTGTTTGAACATCTGTATGGACTCTGATAAAACCACTTCTTCAGGCAGAGAATTCCACATCCTTATTGTTCTTACAGTAAAAAAAACTTTCCTTTGCCTTAGACAAAATCTTCTTTCTTCCAGTCTAAATGCATGACCTCCTGTCCTATGTAAAGTCCGGTTTGTGAATAGATTTCCACACAATGGTTTGTATTGGCCCCGAATATATTTGTATAATGTTATCATATCCCCTCTCAGGCGACGTTTTTCTAAACTAAATAGGTTTAAATTTGTTAACCTTTCTTCATAGCTGATATGTTCCATTCCTTTTATTAATTTTGTAGCCCGCCTCTGCACTTTTTCTAGTGCCATAATATTCTTCTTTAGAACAGGTGCCCAAAATTGCACAGCATATTCAATATGTGGTTTTACTAGTGATTTATAAAGAGGCAAAATGATATTCTCGTCCCGAGAATGAATGCCCTTTTTAATGCATGACAATACCTTACTGGCCTTGGCCACTGCTGATTGACATTGCACATTGTTGCATAGTTTGTTGTCTATAACAATTCCCTAGTCCTTTTCGTGTGTTGTTATCCCTAATTCGCTTCCATTAAGGGTATACGTTGCTTGTGTATTCTTTACGCCGAAGTGCATAACTTTGCATTTTTCAACATTATATTTCATCTGCCATTTGAGTCCCCAGTCCCCCATTCTATCTAAATCCCTCTGCAACAAAGTAATATCTTGCTCACATTGTATTATTTTACAGAGTTTTCTGTCATCTGCAAACACTGAAACATGACTTTCAATGCTGTCTTCAAGATCATTTATAAACATGTTAAATAGAATGGGTCCTAGAACAGACCCCTGAGGGACACCACTTGCCACCTCTGTCCAGCTTGAAAATTTACCATTAATGACAACTCTTTGTACTGTTTTTAAGCCAATGTTCTACCCAAGAACAAGCATTTTCATCTAGACCGGTTTCCTTGAGTTTGAACACTAATCAATTGTGTGGAACTGTATCAAATGCCTTGGCAAAATCCAAATAGATCGCATCCACTGCAACACCCTGATCTATACTTCTACTTACTTCTTCATAGAATGCAATCAAGTTAGTTTGACATGACCTGTGCTTCATAAAACCGTGCTGATTTTTGCTGATAACCATGTTCTTCTCAAGGAATTCTTGAATATTATCCCTTAATAACCTTTTAAATATTTTCCCAGCCACAGAAGTTAAGCTCACAGGTCTATAATTTCCAGGCAAGGATTTTGAACCACATCTGCCTTCCTCCAATCCTCCGGAACACTTCCTGAAAGAAAAGAATCTTGAAAGATTAAAAACAGAGGTTCACTTATTTCTACACTTAGTTCCTTAAGTACTCGCGAATGGATACCGTCAGGCCCTGGAGCTTTGTTTATATTAACTTTTTTAGTTGCTGCAGGACCTTGTCTTGAGTTAACCAATTACAATTATTCTGCAAGTTTTTACTAGCAATCATTTGCACATCTATTGCCATGGGTTCTTCCTTAATATATAGAGA